AGAGAGAGAGAGAGAGAGAGAGAGAGAGAGAGAGAGAGAGAGAGAGATATTGAGAAAGAGGCCCACACTCATAGTACCACACAAAACAAGTAAATAAATGTTTTAATTTTTAAGACACTTAAAAAGTGGCTAGGAAGATGGACATATTTTGCAAAGTACTTGGCTTGCAAACTTAAATTTCAACTTCAAAAGCTATGTTAAAAAGAAAAAAAGATAAGTATAGCAAACTCTTGAAAACCCAGAACTAGAGAGACAGAATGGGGTGAATCCCTGGGGCTTGTCAATTAGTCAGCCAGCCTAGTCTACTTAGCAAGTTCTAGGCCAGCAAGAGACCCTGTCTCAGAAAAACCCATGATAGACAGTACTTGACATCCAAGAAGGGAGACAACCAAGACTGACTTTGAACCTCCATTTTCATGTGTACACACACATGCACATGCTATACCAACACACACAGTATATTTACACACACACACAAGGCACTTCACTTTTTTGGTTCACTACCTCCTTTTGTGTAGTAGAGGTACTGGTAGTAACTCTAGCAGGCTCTGGCTTCCTGTGGAGATCCTGATCTGGTAGATCTCAGGAGTTCAATCCCCTTGGCTAATTCCGATATCTCTGCTTGTTTAAAATATTGTCACAGAGTGTCTGTCCTTAAAGAACCTTATAGCATAGAGTTCTTAGCACAGGGATTTCCTACTTGAAAAAAAGCCATTTACTGGTGTCTTCTGGGATTGGTTAGAGTAGCTATCCATACTTAGTAACGAGGTCTTAAGAAACAAGCCATGTTATGTAAAGGTTTCTAACAGACACATACCCATTCGCTGTTAGTAACTGTTAGCTGTTGCTGCATAACAAATGACCCCCAAACAGACAACTGAAGCAACACACATTTACTGATTCACACTTTGCATGGGTCATGAGCCAGGGGCCCTGCCCTCTTCTTCTTGGAGTTGTATTAGGCAGTGACAGACATGTTAGCTGGAGCAGCAGTCAGTGCTCAGTGGTGGGTTTGGCTGTGACTCTTTCAGTTCATTCTATGTGGATCCCTCTTTGCAATATAGCAGAGCACTTCCCAGCAATCCAGGGGTGGAGTAGTGAGATGGGGACCAGTGAGATGAGAATCCTGTCCCTTTGCCACCAAATTGCTCAAGCCTCCTCCCTCCATGTTACATCATCTGTTCCTCTTGACAGAAGCAGTCAGCAGGTACAGCCCCTACTAAGTGGAAGTCAGTCAGGAGAGCCAAAGACAAGAGGTGATCAGATGCATCTAAATCCACCTACCCCAGTGACTGTTGGATCCTAAGCATGTATCTATTCCCTTTCACCTTGGAGGTTATCAAGCTTCTTATATAATCTGCTACTGCAGACTGTTGTAGCCTTGGAAACTTGAGGGTTGACATGCCCAGACCAGGTATCTCTTCTAGTGGTTGTATTTGTGTATGCAATCATATCACCTGCTCTGTGTTAGGACTAGGCCCTATTCTGGACCAAAGAAGAGGGGATGAGAAATGAAACGAAGTTGATAATAGAAGACACACTGAGGCTCCTTAAGCTATGTGTCCACAAGGCTTAAAGCACCTTTGCAGAGAGGAAAGACAGAAGGAATGGTTAGCAGTCACCAGACCAGACCCCTAAGTAGTGAAGTGGTCACTGTTCTAGGTCACTAAAGGAGCCTACCTGTCACCTCTGTTTTTGTGACTGTCTTTGAGTTCTCTGGTGGCAACAAAAGTGTTTCTTGCTCTTTTTTTTTTTTTTTAATCCAATGGTACTGGGATAGATACACCAAGTTCTCAGTAGACAGTCTATAAGTAGGTGGTTGACAAATCATTTCTTGTTCACATGAGATTAAGTATGTATGCCTACTACTATACAATCACAGAATGCAGGGGCGGGGGCTTGCATCTCTGGCAAAGCCAGGGAAGTTGGGGACAGTAGCCCGGGTGGCACTCACATACGTATGCCCCAATGCCACTTCCCTTCTCTTTTCATGGGAGAAAAGAAATTACTAGCACTTAGCTTCCTCCTGACATTCCTCTTGCCAGTGAGACGACTTGGAATTGACAATGAAGAGGCACGCTGAAGGATTCGGAAAGTCCCCTGCTAATGTAATATCGGTGGCTCTGGTGTGACCTGCGTGCTGGGTATGTTCCTTAAGGTCCCAGTACTGAAGAGTGGAGACTAGCCATTGTTGATGCAGACAGGAACCACTCCGGCTCTGCGGGAGGTCTAAAGTGCTCTCCACTGTTCTCAGGCTGATGCAAAGACAGAAAGAGTTGTGATTTAAAAGTAATCAGGGCAGCCGTGGTGAATGTTCATAAATGCAAAACAAGGCTGACATGTCATAGATGGCCGTGGCCTACATGTGCACAGCAGAGTGGGACTAGTCAGGCACTTGTGTGGATGTTATCACTGGGTTTGGATGCCAAGCCCTAGTAACCTAAAGTAACTCACTTAGTAGACAATCGGGAGTTATGACTGACCGTTTGTTTGTCGAAGGATGTCATCCTAAGGGAACGGGGAAGACCTCTTGAGAATCTTGAGGTCTCACATGATTCAGACTCCAAACAATTCTTAGAAAATCCCCTCTCCCTGGAGCTGTCTTACCACATTGTCAGGCAAGGAAGCAGCAGGAATCCCGTCCCTGATGGTCACTTCTGGCTAATAGAAGAATATAGGCTTCTTTCAGAGGCTATTTATTAATAGGCTATGCATATTAAATAAAAATATAGAGATATATGTTATATGTGACTGTGTAAGTATAACACTGGCCTTCCATAGCTACAGGCTCTACATCTGTGCACCCAACCACCCACAGACTAAAAGTACATAGGAAAAATGCATCTCTATTGAGCATTATATTATCCCTTTTTCATTATTCCCTGAACCAGATAGTATAAAAACCACTTTCACTTTCATATATCCTTTAAATTATACTAACACAGAGTATACAAGAGAATGTGCAAAAGTTAGATGCAATATGGAGTTCGGGACATGACACTACTGGTAAGTATGTTTGCTATGCAAACATGAGGACCTGAGTTCAAATCCCCAGCACCACAAAAACCAACCAAACAAAAAACCAAACAAACAAAAAAACGGGCGGTCGTGTACAACTGGGGTAGAGACAGGAATCTTTCTGGAGCTCTCTGGCTACCAACGCAGTCCAGGTTCAGTGTAAAGCCCTATCTCAGGGGAAACAGAGAGAGTGATAGAGCAGGATTCCTAGTGCCCTTTTCTGGCCTCTGCACATGGATGGTGCAAAAACCTTCACGTACATGAGCACATGCATTATACACACACACACACACACACACACATACACACACACAATATATGTAATATTCATTTTATATGAATAACTTTAGCATCCACAGAGTAGGCATCCAAGAGGACGAGGAACCCACCTCCTATTGAGGGACAACTATGAATTCTCATGAAATGAGCAAAAATAAAAGCAGATGCTTTGGACACTGGTGTCTCATTTAGAGTTGGGGACAGAATTGTATTGAATGAATAGGGAGAGATGGGAGTGTTTAGGTAAATCTGAGCTCTGCACGGAGGGTGGTGGAGTCTGGTGCCATGTTGAATCTGCGATTTCCTTTTCTGGCTGTTTGTATCTCTTTGTGCTTCATAATTTCCCACTGTGAGCTCATCTTCAGTAAGAGTTTTTCCTCTGGGCATCCTAGATACTCTGATTGTAGAGGCATGCCTCTGGGGAGGTTTAAGCTTGCCTCTGCTAAGATCCCATTGGATTGCTTTGATTTCAAGCCAATTTATGAATTGGTTTTTCTGTCAATGGTTTTCACATTGAGAGATGAGAAGCTGGACCCTAGCTTTCTGCTTGGCACAATCTTAGATTTTGAACATTTATAGATTGCCTTTTTTTTAGAGGTTGCTATAGTCATGTTTCTCTGGGGTTTCCATTCACTCAGTCATATGGACACCCCACTTCTAGGCCCTGCTCCTCATGAGGTTGTAGGTCTCCTATCTGTCTCTGTCTGTGCATGAAGCCCAGCCCTAGTGACACATGTCTGCTTTGATTCCCTATACTTGGTCTTTGCTACTTTGTGGCTTCTTTGTTTTCCCACCCTTTATCACCCCAGTTTTACTTCCTCTTACTTGATAAGAGAGAAAGAATAGAGGAGAGAGAGACAGAGACAGAGAGAGAGAGAGAGAGAGAGAGAGAGAGAGAGAGAGAGAGAGAGCCCTGAATCTAATTTATTTTCTTTTCTTTCTTCTTTGAGCATAACTACTAGCAAACCACGACCAATCCTTCTAAACCACCAACAAACACACTCCCCTGCCTCTCGGGAACCCTAGTATTTATCTACCCTCTGAACATTTTCCAGAATTCCAAATGTCACACAATTGCAGAAACTATCTGCAGCTGGCAAAACCATGCCTCAGCTAGAGTATGAGGCAAATCACAGTGAGCTGCCGTAGACAATCTGAAGCAGTTCCATGTCCCCACACCTGGAATTAAATAGAAAAGATATATTTCATGTTTTTAAAAGGAACCAAAAATTCCAGAATTGTCCTACAATTCCCATCCACGCCTCACTCATTATGCCCGCTCTCTGAATTCCCGTGAAATTTTGGAATTTAAACTTCCTCTCTGCC